CTCTCTCTCTCTCTCTCTCTCTCACACACACACACACACAGTCTCTCTTCCAGATTTATCCCTTCTTATTTCCAAGCTTAACATGATTTTCCTGTGGCTCTGAGCCCCGCTTTAGCATTGTTTTCATTGCCATGGTTACCCCCAAAACATCTGTGCGCTGACAATCAGGTCAGCGAGCTAAGAAGTGCAGCGTTACTCCGCTCCTGGCTGTGATGCCCCTTTGTTGAGCTTCACGTGCAGAAAGGAATTTCAAGGACCAGCAACCACTGCGCATCCTGTCTTTCAAATATAAAAAAGTCCACAGCGAATTCCTGTAAACCAGCCTGACTTGATATAAACAAAATAGTTATATTAACCCATGCTATCCAACAATAATTAAAGTGACTGTAACACATCGGCAGCTCTCGGACTTCAAACGCCAAAGTAATTCTTAAAAAAAAGAATTAATTTTATAAACTTTACCATTTTTTTTAATGCCATAAAATTGAAAGCTGCATCCGTGCAAGTTTGGAAGCCATATTATCTGGTCTCATAAAATAATTTATTTAAATCTGCTTTGACAGCATGGTCATGATAATTTCAGTCAAATTGAAAAATCAGACCCAAGTTATATAAGACGGCTACAAAGTACAGTGAATTGTTCCCACGATTTGTAGCATTTCACGAAAAGCAATTCAGATTCATTACTCTTTTCAGTGCAAACGTCTATATAGTTTACCCAAGAAATACACACAGAGTTTATAAATTAAACCGTTTTTAAATCATGCGTTTAGCGATTAAACCCAGAGTGCTTTTTGGGTTAATCTGTATGATGTGCAGTACGTGTCCTGCCTTACGAGCGCCGCCAAACAGAGGCGCAGAGGGTGCTGCTTTTCTTTTCCCACGCCTGATGGAGCTCCTAAGACATCGACAACTGTTTAAGGTATATCTGTATAAGGGGCGATACTTACTTTATCTCTAGGTGGATTTAGCCTACGGAGATCCGCTCCGGGCACCTCTCCTTCCCCAGCCCCTCCACGGAGCCCCCCGTAGATCTGTTTGTCTCTGCTTGACCACGGAGACAATCGACGCGATGGGGGCGTGTGCTGGAGCCTGTCCTCCATCTGCCGAAGCGGGACCCCGGGCACCAGCGCCGCCAATCGCAAGGCGCCCGGCTGCCCTTTGTTTGCGCGGCCGCAGCGGAGAGGGGGAATCCCGAAAACAATGAGCTTCACCGCGGCGTTTTGCTTTGCACTGAAGCGAGCCACGTCATGCCATTAAGATTTACGGTCCGGCTGAAACGTTTCTGGAGTGTGGGGTCCAGCACGCTGGGACACCGCTTCACTATAACCGCCTGGTACAAAGTCAAAAATTGTGGCTTTCTCTCTAGTAAACATAATTTATCAAATAGTCACAAATAAATTATTAGATCTAAATAGAACATGTGAAAAAACATGCTCCGTAGCCTAACGTAATTTCTTAAACACAGATATTAACACTGTTTTCTTTGCACAAACTGCGTATATGATTCTTCATTAGTCATAATAATATCATTAATAACATTAATATCTCTCACGACTGACCAGGATAAACGGATGGAAGATGTAATTATGGACTGTTTAATGTCTGTTAAAGTGCATTGTCAATTCCAAGTTCTTTGCATAAATGGAAAATGTTTCCAAATGTGTTTTACGGTTTACTTATGAACTACTAACTGCAAATTATCATTTAATATATGTATAAAGAGCTTTATTTCGTTTTACTGCAGCAGTGCTCATGACCGACAGTGTGCTTAACCTGATATAATTTCATCTCCTTAATTGTCAGTTCATGGAGCATCTGTTCACTCCTCGCATGTCTCTCTCTCCCCACAGCCAGGGACTTTAATTGTGTGTTTTGTAGTGTGACTCTTCGCACACCATTGATCATCTGTTTGACACGCCGATTTGCTCACAGTACGGAGCGCAAAAGTGAATCGCTTTAGGTGGTGAATTAAAACTCCCTAAGCGAGTCCACGCTGGAACCTCCATTGAAAGCAATGTCGCCCCCATTCTATAGATTTGTAACATGAAACATTTTTAAAGGCATGTAAAAAAAATTGCAAGTTTGGGAGATTTTCAGCCCTGTCAGCTGGGACAAAACCTACAAATAGACAAATTTAAAGAAAATGTGACGTCATACCATTTTTTTTTTTGCCCGGCTAGCTCAATCGGTGGAGCATGAGACTCTTAAACTCAGAGTCCTGGGTTCGAGCCCCACGCTGGGTGCTATCTTGTGTGCAGTGGTGGATTGATGATTAGGGATGCGCACTTGTAATTGAAAGATTGCAGGTTCGAATTCCTGACCAGCAAGACACCACTGAGGTACCCTGAGCAAGGTACCGCTCCCAAGCACTGCTCCCCGGGCGCTGAGTTAGCTGCCCCCTGCTATGTCACATTGTCACATATAGGTTAAATAAAGAGAACACATTTCGTTGTTGTGCACTGTGTGCTGTGGTGTCAACAATGACAATTAATCACTAAATTCTAATTCGGTACGTTACGCGAGCCGCATCAGGCTGGTGCTATAGGCAGAAATGGGGCCCCACGGAGGGTCGATGGGTCCTTTTTGGGGGAGGACGGGGGACCATTCCTCTATTACTTTAAATGACTGAAGCAAGTTAAACTGCATTATGAACCACAGGAAATGAAACGATAGGATATTTACCCATTACCTTGCTGGCAAGTCTGTCTGACTCAGTGTCCAATTTTTTATTTTTCTGTATTAATGACAAGTAATAAAAGTTTATATTGTGTACTTTAAGGATACATGTCACATGTGTACATTGTAGACAGAGTAAATAGCAGGGAGGGTGTGCTCTGGCAAATTCTGACCAGGCTACACAATTTGAAGTCAATGGTTACTGGTTATTGGTTCCCTGTCGGTTTCATTTTGTAGCTTTGTTACAGCATGATCAATACAAATTTTTCCCAAACGCACATTCAAAAGCGAGACTTAAGTTAATGCAACTTTATAAAAAGTAACAATTACTTCATAATCCAAACATTTTAAGGCCTAAAATTCAGATTATTGAATTCGAGACTTTTTAAGGACCTGCACAAACCGTGTCATAGTAACAGAAATCTTGACCATGGGTGCCTAAAGTTCTGCATGCCATAGTAGGCTCACACCAGCCTGACCACAAACATATTTCACATAAACAAGCACAGAATTATTAGCGATCACTGCTACCATTTCATCCATTTACATTTTTATGAATTTAGCAGTGGAAAATAATTTATCTGAAATTTGCTAATGCAGTTGACTATTTTTATGAAGTTGTTTTATAATAATTTTATAAGTAAATTGCAAACCTAGGTTTTACTTTAAATTTGGATTTTATAGTTTATTTCCTAATGAATTTCTTCATTTTGCCACAACAGCTATGTTTGGTATGATTACCTCAGTTCTAAATTACCATGTGACACAGTAACTATTTCTTATAAATGTGACAGGAAATCAGGAAAAGGGAGGAAGAAATTGCACAAGAGATAGAGCATGTGGCTAAACACCGGAACACACATCCTTCACTGTGCAGACCTGACGAAAGCCACATGAATTCTGCAGTGGGTTCACTACCTAGTGTATGCAAGAGCCCAGATAGCACTGCTTTTCAATCAGTTTGCTGCATTAGACCAGTAAACCTGCCAAAAAGCAGTCTCACATTACCTGAACCCAGCTGGCCACACGGTGTGCCTTCTGCCTGTGTTTGATTCATCTCTGATTATATACTTCAGAAAAGGCCATTTGCACTCTATAACATCATTTATTAAACAGCTTTAGGAACAAAGAATAAAACATTTGTCGCTACTATTAGTTTACACAATGTCTGGTCCAAGTATCACACTATTCAATTCAATATATAGATATATTTCTTTGTCTTGAGTTTTATTGTCAACTTGAAATGTCACCAACATTAAACAAGAAGCGATGTTAGAAAAATACAATATGAAAAATTCTAGCTAACAGAAAGTATTAAACTGAGCTACAAGTCGAAAAATAAAAATAAAATTTTAAAAAGCGAACAGGATTCTTAAATAAAAAAAGGGGACAAAATGGTGACCTGGGCAGCATGACACCATACAAATGGATGCGATAAACATCTGTCTGTAAAAAACATACAAAGAATGCAAACAATTATGAAATGGGTAAAAGGTACTTTAAAGTGTACAGTGGGTCCCCCTTCAAAATAACTGAAAGGGTCTTTATTTAAGCCTCCTGGTAACGTCACCCCATCGTGACCAGGGTTCGAGATTCCAGATGTGGCACCCCTATATGACACAGATCATGCGAGGCACCAATGCCAGGCTGTTTTTGCCGGATCTAAAAATCGGCAGACTGGTATCAGGCAGCCTGCCAGGCTGCGGAGTCGCACAGCCCAGGTCTGCTCAGAGATGGGTTGGGAGTTTTTTTTCCTTTGGAATGACGAGACGCTTCTGTCACGACTCCAGTTTGCATTCACAGCTGACGGGATGTCAGTAGCATCCATGAAAAATCCAGGAACCACAAACAACAATAATAATAATAATAATAATAATAAAAAATAAGAACAAGAGAAATTACCATCCAGTGCCACTCATGCTTACGAAAATAACATCCAGGGTTATGCCCAGAATATGGAATAAAAAGAAAAAAAGAGAGAAAGCAAGTTAAAGAACAGTAAAGTCTAAATATTTGCACCATCCATAGTGAGTGTGCGCTTGTGCGTGTCACAGAGGCATCTTAAGAAACCATTACGCCACACCCTATGGTCTCAAGAACTGCACCATTTCCAATTACTAGCTTTGCAAAATATGGACAGACGCTCCTGAATCAAAGTGAAGCATTTCCCTTATAAACAGTGCATTCAGGCAGCTGAAGGACAGAAGCAGGCTACCGCTCTAACTGCCAGCACCACATGCAGTATTCTGTTCAATTTCTTCAGTAAAGGGATCAGACAGTAAACTTTATACTCCAATAAATTAACTTCTAAAACGGGTGCCACCGAGTACACAAAGATGCAACACTAGCAGAAAAAATACTGACAGACTATAAATAAAATAAATATGCATTAACAATCACACTGATAGCATTCTCTAGAAGCCAAGTCTGAACGGTCATCTTAGCGTCTAACTCATTCAGGTTCATAGGAACCACCTTGTAGTATTTTGAAAATGTTTGGTGCATCAGTATAGATGGAAATGTAAAGTCTGGTGCCTCGGATACAAATGTTACAAATTACAGCTACAATTCCATTGCATACATGGGTGGGAATGTTCGGAAAATAAGTGCTTTGCAAACCCAGTTCAAGGAGACAGTAATCAAACGACGGCCATTTCTCCACCGTCTGCCAATCGCAGAGTCATGATACGATACCTTGCATCTGTTAGGGACCAGCATAGCGCAGCCTGCAAAGACTCTTACAGATGGATTAGTCTCAATGCGGAAAACTAACAGGAGAACAACGATCATACCAGCAACACTAACCATAATGTTGATTAACAAACAAAAAATATAAACACAGTAACTACATATATGATCTGCATGTGCTGTGCCCTCTCCCCATATGAAGAACAGCCAGCCTAGAAAGACAGAATGGGAGTAGTGTCTTTGGGGGAAAAGCAGGGTAAAAATGAGAGTAACGGAAACAGAAACGTGATGTGTGATCGCTAGCGTGTCACTGAGCCGTCTTCCTGTGAATCACGCCGCTGTGGACTGTCTCCATCACACATGCGTCTGTATCCCGACTGTGATGATGGACGGACCAGATTCGGAGAACCTGGAGAGGGGGCCTAAATGCCGTTTAAAGGCTAATCAGAGAACTGTGATCGGCAAATTGGTGGCCAAGAAAATAAAAAAATAAATTAAAAAATAATGTGAGGATCACCCTGTAGTCGGCTGTTTCACTTTACAACCATGAAGAGCCGCACGGAAATTTTATCCGAGAAACGTTTTCATGCCCTGAAGCAGCACTTCTGTTTTCAAAACAAAAAATGAAATGAATAGAACAAAAAAACATACAGATTGCAAATCAAACCGAAGGTAACATTCTCTGCGTTCATTCTTTAAAGTAGGTCAGAAATCTACTCTTTTGCATAAACAGCACAAGCCATTAGCATTAACATGATCTCGCCTGCATGTGAAATCTGTGCATGTTTCTCTGCACGCGTGTGTGTGTGTTTCTTCATATGTTCGTAGACAAACATGGTGTAAGTGTTTGTATCATGCTTCTCCTGCTGTTGCTCTCCACGGGGATGGGATTCTTCTGTCCCTACGCTTTTGAAACAGGGAATAAAATGATGAATTAGAAGTGAAAATAAAACGGGGCCCCCCTGACCCCTCCCTGGGTGCCGAGAGTCAGATTGGGAGACGCTGACAGGCTGAGCAAAGGCACGTCCCACAAGCCCCGCAAGGGAGCGATTCCCTTATTCTGCTGATGTCCTTTTACTTCCACTTCTCAATCACAATCACACACAAAAAAATTAACAGTCCTTCAGTCTGCATTTACTAGTATTTTGGCGCCAGAGCTGAAAATAAAACATCTTTTTTTGCATTGGCCTGTTCTTAAAGTACAAAAAAAATGCTTTCAAACAAAAGACCAAACAGATAATAATTTAGCAGCCAAAAAAGTGGCAATAGAACGAATAAAATGGGGCTGAGGGTTCGGCAGGAGGTGCAGCAGCAGCACAGCTCAGTCCCGCTGGGAGGACAGGGGTGGCATGGTGTAACGCAACATGGGCACCGCCAGGCTGGATGCCCCGCCCCTCCCTCGCTATACGCCGGCCTCGGCCGTCGCGGCGGCGCCTCCACACGCTCCATCCGCTCTGCTCCTGCGCCTCCAACAGCGACCCTGTGACACGTCCCAGTCGTAGCCCACGAAGGTGGGGCTGATGGGGAGGTGCTGGAAGAGCCGGTGGCGGCGCAGGAAGCCCATGCCGAACGGGAGGTCGTAGGAGTGCAGGCCCTCCAGCTCGGCCTTGCCCAGGCCGGAGCCTCGCTTCAGCTTGCGGATGCCCCTCTCCTCCATAGAGCCTGCGGGGGACGATAAGCTGGATGCAAACACACTCTGGACCAGGAAGTGGGTTCCAGCCCCACTACACACCCGGGGAAAACAGCGCAACTGCTGGATGACTCTGAAACTGATTCTGAGTAGTTCATCAGTGTCATGCTAGTCTACATTTGTCAATTAGATGCTTACAAAAACACATTTTGACTGCGTTATGTGCAACAAATCACTCAGCTGAATAGACTTTTATTTTAACCGATGTTTGTCCCGAAATCTTTTTATTGCTGTTTTTGTCCTATGTAGTACATAACGTGGTTTATTTCCATAGCTCGTCGCACGCTGCCCCCGCCCTGACACAGAGCGGCGATTCCCACTGACAGTGAACACCAATCCCAGACCGATCCAGACCCGCAGGCAGCCCTTACCAGGAATGGTGTTGTCCAGGATGAATGCCACGGAGCCCCCAACGAACATTGCCGTCGTCAGGAGCACATTGAGCACCTGGTCGATCTCAACGATGCCTGAGGGACAGAGACTGAGTCAGTCTGTGGGTCTCTGTGGTCCACCAGGGACAGTATGGATGTGTGCACCAGTGGGGATAACAGGCTCAGGACACTGTTCAAGGGATGTGAACCCACAGCCATTACCCGTATGAAGTTAGAATACCTCCACTGAAAGGGATGAGACAGAACCTGGCTCATACAATCCACAGCTGCCCCCCCCCCAAAGGTGGCCAGCATTTAGGGTAACTGGGAAGTCTGAAACCAAAACAGGTCTGCCGGGCCCACCAGAGAATCCCGTGACCCCCCTCCAGCCCAAAGCTGCAGCCAGACCCGCCGCCCACCTGTCACCAGCGGGTTCTGTTTAAGGTAGCTGGGCAGCACCAGGCCGAAGAAGACGGAGAAGCCCAGGACGAAGAGGTTGCGGGAGGAGTTCAGGTCGACGAACTGCAGGTTGGAGAGGCCCACGGCGGTGATCATGCCGAACAGCGTGCAGAAGAGGGCGCCCAGAACCGGGTCCGGCAGCGAGGCGAACAGCGCGCTGAACTTGCCCACCGTGCCCAGCAGCAGCATAAAGCCGGCACCGTACTGGATCACGCGCCGGCTGCCCACCTGCGCGGAGGAAGCACGGGAAAACGGACACCATGACAACCACTGCTGTTTCCACGGAGACAAGCAGCTGTTGGAACCGACTCTTAAAAAGAAATACATCATATCCTCTGTTCTGTCTGACTGCGGGTTCAGCTCACAGCAGATTTAGCAATGGAGCCTATTGGGGGTACCATTTCAACAAGAACAAGAACTTTAACCACTAGGGGGAGGAGATCCTCCATTTTATTGCTGCACAGTTTTGAAGGGACACAGGAGGGGGGGGCATACTTTGGTGATGCCCAGCACCCCGATGTTGGGGCTGGAAGAGGTGGAGCCATTCCCCGTCCCGAATATACCGTCCACCACACAGGACACCCCCTCGATGAAGATCCCTCTGAGGAAAAGGATTAAGACATTAAACAAACATTGAGATTGACTTTACTGATCCCCAGGGGGGAAATTCCGGTGCATAAAGCAGCAGGAATGCAGTGTACAGACAAACACAAAACAAAAACAGACAACAACAACAGACAAAAACAGACAACAACAGACAAAAACAGACAAGGAACAAAGACGGAACACATAGTGCAAACAGGAAAGTGTGGTGCAAGCAAAGTGAATAAGTACGCAGTAGACAAATAAAATATCCTGAAAAACAAAAAATTGTAGTATTGGAGAGGAGAGAGGTAAGGAATTGTATTGGAGAAATAAATAAGTACAGATAATAAAATAATAATAATAATAATAATAATAATAATAATAATAGAGACAGAAACAGGAAGTCTGGGGGAGTGAGAGGGGAGTTTGATGGGACCCAGTGAATAGGGTACTGCACTTTGCGACCTGTTGGGTAGCGGGTACCTGTTGATGGCGTGGACGGGTGGTGGGGGGGCGCAGGACAGGCGGGCACAGGCGTAGTAATCGCCGATGGACTCGATGATGCTGGCCACCACAGCGCTCATCATGCCAATCACGCCAGCCGTGGTGACGGTGGGCAGGCCCCACTGGACTGGCAGCGGGCACAGGAGACACGGAAGAGAGAGGGTCGACCGGGGTGGCGGCACGGTAGGGGCGCTGAGCTGAGGAGGGCGTACTTACAGGGGTAGGGGATCTTAAACCACGGGGCCACAGTCAGGATCCCCTGTCTGGCGTCGGTGCGGGCATAGAAGCCATACTGCTCTCTCTTGGGCGGAAAGACATCGGTCACAGTGAAGATGAAGCACAGCAGCCAGGAGACCAGGATGGCCATGATGATCTTCAAGTGAGGAGAGATGGAGGGAGAGGGAAAGAGGGAGAAAGAGACAGAGGAAGCGAGAGAGAGAAGGGGAGAGAGAGGGACAGAAAGAGAGAGAGAGAGATGCGCAATCAGAAGCTGGCAGTGCCTGAGATGTTTCAGCTACCTGAGGCCCGTATCTTGGGTCCCGGGACTTAGAGGTGAAGCTGGAGGGGTGGTTTCTCACCGGGAACATCTTGAAGAGCTGAAGGCGGTAGGAGGTCCAGCCCTTCTTGGCCTGGTAGATGGGGAGGGGCAGCTGGACGTTGCGGGCGTACTGGGAAAAGAGCAGCACCAGGAAAATGGTCCTGTGGGGACAGGCTGCTCTGTCAACCGTGATCATCACCAAAGACTGTCACCGAGACAGGTCACTCAGTGTTACCGCCCCCCTGGGGGGTGTGTCCCTGCACTGACACTGCAACAAAAAACCGCAACGGGCATGTGTTTGCCAGGAAGGGCGACGAGAGAGTAAACAGGGCCCTGGAATTCTAGTCTGGGACGTAAACGGCGGCAAATCGACAGGATGTTTTCTTCCATTAGTTGGCTGATATTAGTGGTTTTACTGAAAGATTAATGATCAGCATTAGACACTCCATATACCAACATTCCGACTGGATATGGCCTCACTGCCCCTCTCGCCACTAGGGGGTACTGCTGAGCTAGTTAAAAGAGAATAATAATAAACCAAATCAAGCAGGGCCCTCGCTACCGCGTCTGCTGTCGAGGACAAGGAGGTAGAGGTGAACCCCGGTTCCTCAGGATAACCGAGCCCCAGAACCGGATTCCCGCATAAACCTTAACGCGGACCGCCCGCCCCACCGCGGCACGCCCAGGCGTACTCACAGCATGGCGATGCCCCAGTGCTTGCCCGCCCTCTCCCCTGCAGCCTGGAACCCCGAGAGGCCGATGAGGGCCACGGTGGGGGTGATGGTCAGGGGGCCGATGTACTTCAGCAGCATCCCCGGAAGGCCCAGGGCCCCGATGCACACCTCGATCATGGACGACACGATGATGGCTCCCTGGATCTGCGGGGAGGGAGATATGGCTACAGCCAATGGCACAGAAGGGACCTTTACCGGCGAACGGCGAGCGCAGTGTACACACA